GCCAATTCTTTCTAAATATTACCAAAATATTGCCAATCTTTTCTAAATTGTTACAAAGTATGTTGCACTGATTTGATCGAGTTGTATTCTTTCGTTAAATATCATTTCTTTCCACCATTTAAAAAAGATTTTTTCCTCCATTTTTCTAATTTTTTTTCTTTCGCTTTTTCCAACGATAATTTTTTCATCCGATTTTTACTCAATGGTATTTCTTTGGGATTTTTCTGTTTATTAAAAAATTCATTTATAGCCTCAGTTTCTACATCATCCAATGTATAGTTACCAAATTTACCATCTCTATATTGTTTAATAAAAAATGATGCTGCATGTCTAAGATCATATTCACCCTGCTTGTGTAGTGCACCTATACGTTTTGCTATTGATGGCAATAATTGATTTATATCATCTGTATTTTCTTTTAATTTATAATTTTCAACATAACTTTGAGAAACAAATAATGGTTTTTAGAAAATCATTTTATAATAAATAATATTTTTCAAACATTTTCTTACCTAAAATTTCCAAACTTATTTAATCTCCATAATAAATAATCAGCTACAATTTCTTCATCAATTGATACGTCATTTATTCCACCTAATAATATTAATATGATTATTAATAAATATAATTATTTTGAATATTAAAAAATAATAATAAACCTGTTAATGCTATTTTTAAAGAAGTTATAGGATCAGCGCTATATGGAACCATTACACCTATTATATAATTATAATTATAAATAGATTTTAATTATAGATATGTAAAGAGTTGGAATAATTTTAATATTACCTGGAGTATCAATTAAATAAACTAAAGGATCTTCAAGAACTTTAATTGAAGTTGCGGACACATTACGTGTTACGCCTGGCGATGCTCCAGTTTTCGCAGCTTTACCTAGGCGAGTTTGATAAATTGATTTATATTTTTAAAAACGTATATAATTAATTATATTTTCTAAAAATCACTGTGTGAAGGTGCAGACATATTTTCGATCATAGTTACGACATGGCTATATCGTAACTATTGTTGTATGCCACAACTGTTTATCTTTTCTTTTTAAGTAGTGCCGACCCCGAATTAGGTAAATCAAAAAATAACCTAGGTAACCTTATTTGATAATCCTATGGCATACGGCATTTGCTGTATGCTATATATGCTGTATTAGTGTCGTGACCCTCAAGTGTTAATATGTTTACACCCTTACCTCTGTGAACGCCGATATTTCTCATTGAATTTATTATAGTTGATTTTCCAACATTTGGCATACCAACAACCATCACAGTAACATATGGATATCTTATAGGATCTTCTCTTACTTTATCTATTAAATTTTTTTGCTATTAACTAATACTATAAAGAATTAATAATATTTATGTAAACAACATTTATACTATATACTTGCAGCAGCATCTATGATTGCTTTTATATTTTTATTGCGAATTGCATTTGTAAACAGTATATTCTGATTGACATTTTTCTTAAATGCATCTATAATTTGCTAATATAGTTATTAATTATTTATTTATTTATCGAAAGATATACTTTAATCTCCTAAACTACTTACCTTTTCTACATTACGATCAGCCAAATCAGACTTATTATATATGATTATCCGATCTTTTCCTCTAGCAATTTCTTCAAACTTAGGATTTACGGATGATAGTGGAATGTATTTAGTCATGTATATACATTAAAGATGATAAATAATAAATTAGAGGATTGTTTTTTATTTAAAGGATATCCTAGCATCTCTTGTTTCAACAATTAAGTCTATTTCAGACAATTTTTCAGACATAATTCTTAATCCTTTTGCCATGTGACCTGGAAACCAATTTATTGCTTTGTCACATATAAATTTTGATCTTATCGATAATGATTTTGTTGACATTCTTCAAAGATAAAATATTTAGTACTACATAAAATTCCCCCGATTATCTAATTATAATTATAGATGAGCTGCACCGTAGAGTTGCCCGAAAATTCAGCAGCCTCTACTTCGTATCACCAAAATTATTGTTTGCGTACCCATATTTGTTGTTAATAAATTTTTCTTTAAGCGTTGAAATTTTTAAAGAACGCCTAATATTAACATTTAAAAGTTATCATTTATAAAAATGAGCGCAATTCCTGTTTCCTTAGAAGATCAATCAAAACTTTTGGAGGAAGCGTTAAATGTTGTAAAAGTTCAAGCCTTTCAAATGAAAAAATGTTTGGTATGTTAAAAAGTTTCTGTAATTTATTCATTCTAGGTTATAAAAAAATCAAATTTTTTTTTCTCTCCTTCTAGGATAATAATAAACTTATGGATGGTTTAAAACATTGTTCTACAATGTTAGCAGAATTACGCACATCTGCCTTAACTCCCAAAAATTATTATGAATTATGTATCCTTATAATATTGTTTTATCTTATAAATAAAATAAAGACATTCTTAAATCGTTTAGAATTCTTTAGCTAATTTTAATTGGAAAAGATATGGCAATTTTTGATGCCCTTAGACACCTTACAACATATCTCAATGACGCGCATATTTCAGGAAAACATCATCTTGCTGACTTGTATGAATTGGTACAATACGCAGGAAATATTATTCCACGTCTATATCTCATGATTACCGTAGGTAGTGTTTATATGTCGCAAAAGGATGCACCTGTAAAGGAAATTATGAAAGATATGATGGAGATGTCTCGAGGAGTTCAACATCCGACAAGAGGACTTTTTTTGAGACATTATCTAAGTGGAATGACAAGAGATTCTTTACCAATTGGAAATGACGACGGGTAATTAAAAATGCACATGCAAATATATTTAGAATAACAATAGATTGAAGGATAATTTTATTTATTTTCAAAAATTTATATTTAGACCACAAGGAAATCTTCAAGATTCAATATCATTTATTCTTACTAATTTTATCGAAATGAATAAACTTTGGGTTCGATTACAACATCAGGGTCATTCCCGAGATCGTGAGAAACGTGAAATGGAACGTAAAGAATTAAGAATTTTGGTTGGAACTAATTTGGTTCGATTAAGTCAATTGGACGGTGTTGATCTTCCATTTTATCAGAATGTAAAGCATATTTTCACATATTTTTATTATACATTCGCAAATAATTTGAATGTTCTATTAACTTACATGCATACACATATGTATAAATAATATAGACAATATTACCAGCTCTTTTAGAACAAGTAATTAATTGTAAGGATGTAATTGCCCAAGAATATTTGATGGAAGTCATTATTCAAGTATGTTTGACTGAGTAAGAAAATAAATAAATTTATTTAATTTATTTATATATTAATATATTTATATTTATGCATATATTTATTTATTTAAAATAATTCTATTAGGTATTTCATGACGAATTTCATCTTCGAACGCTTGGTTTATACCTTTCTGCAACTGCGCAACTTAATCATAAAGTAAATGTAAAGCAAATTGTAATAGCTCTTATTGATCGTCTGGCTGCTTATGCTGCTCGTGAAGCTGATTCTGAACCACCAGAAGTTATAAAACGCCAAGAAGAAGAAACTGCTAGGAGGTTAGCCGAAAAATTGAAAAGACAAAAATTAAGTGAATACAGTCAAAACGAGAACGATGCTCACAATGAATTGGAAATAGACGAAAATTTAGGAAAAAAAATAGAGAGGGAAGAAGAAGATTCTGTAGATAAAAATCAATCACGTGAAACAGAGTCTGATAACATCAAACAAGAAGAAAATAGTAAATCAGAAGAACCTGTTATAAAAAAATTTAGAGGGATTCCAGAAGATGTTAAATTATTCGAAGTTTTTTGGGATCAAATTGTTAATTTGGTTAAGGTAGGAAGAATATTATATACATATATGCATGGTTTTATTAAACACAAATCTTTTAATCTTTAATATTTTAAATTATATAGGCTAGGCCTGATTTATCAATTCAAGATATTACTGCATTATTAGTTTCATTGGTGAATTTGTCTTTAAGTTGCTACCCTGACAAAATTGATTATGTAGATCAAGTTATTGAATTTGCTAAATCGAAAGTTTTAGATTTTCATGATAGGTATGTCCTAATAAAAAATAATAATATTTTTTTCATAAAATTGTTATCATTACTCGATAAAGTACATAATAAATATTTTTCATCTCAAATTTAAAAAGTCCCGATCTTCACAGTTCTACTACGGCATCTAACTTACTCAATCTGTTACTGGCACCTATAAACTCTTATTCCTCTGTTCTTACACTTCTTGCTTTGCCTAATTATCCATCTTTACTTGCTGTTCAACCATTTCAAACGCGTCGATCTGTTGCATATGCAATTCTCTCTTCAATTCTTAAAAAAGAAACAATAATTGAAACACCCGAAGATGTGGAGGGTATTTTAGACTTGTGTAGCGTCCTTATTAGAGATCAAAAAGATGCAACTTCTTCAAGCCCTTTTAGTGGTCTTACTGGTGGAAGAATCACAAAGTCGAATGGTATTTCATCAATGATGGATCCGGAAGAATTTGCTGAAGAACAAGGTTTATTAGCAAGAATTATTCACTTATTTAAAAGTGATGAACCAGACAATCAATTTGTGGTATGATGTTTTTAAATTTTGAAAAATAATAATAATTTTTTAATGATGCCTTTTCATTTAATCATTGTAATAATTATTATAATAATAACAAATGACAAACTTATAATGACTATATCACCAATTAGTTGCTTTCTGCTGCACGTAAACAATTTGGTGAAGGTGGAGAACGAATAAGGTATACTTTTCCTCCGCTTGTTGTATCAGCTGTTAAGTTAGCAAGAAGATATAAAGCATTAGAAGGACAGGTAAATCAATATATGTATATATGTACATGAATTATTAATTAAATATGTATTTTTCTTTTTTCCTTTATTAATCAAATATATTTATCATTTATCATTAATATCAGGATGAGGGATGGGAAAAGAAGATTTCATCACTTTTTCGATTTATTCATCAAATTATCTCGATTCTTTATAACAAAGTCGAATGTCCAGATATATGTTTGCGTTTATTTCTTCTGGCTGGACAAAGTGCAGATGAATGTGGATTTGAAGAAATATGTTATGAATTTTTTGTTCAAGTAAAAAAAGATAAAAAGAATTTTTTTTTAAAACAATAACAATCATTATTTACCAACCATTGATTTTAGCTTTATTAACTAAAATTACCTTTTTATTTTAGGCGTTTACTATTTATGAAGAGTCCATTTCAGAATCACGAGCACAATTTCAAGCGATCACACTTATTATTGGTACTTTACAAACTACACGTGTATTTGGACCAGAGAATTATGATACATTGATAACAAAATGTGCGCTACATGGTAGTAAATTATTAAAGAAACCAGATCAATGTCGAGCAGTTTATATCTCAAGTCATTTATGGTGGGCAACTGAAATTGAAGGGAGGAGAAGTAAATCCACCGAAGTATATTTTTTTCCTAATTGTTTCAATAAAATTTTTATTATTCGTTTACTAACTAATTATCAACAACAATAACAACAACAATAGGATTTATACCGCGATGGTAAAAGAGTTCTCGAGTGTTTACAAAAGGCTTTAAAAATTGCCGATTCTTGTATGGATTCTGTTACAAATGTCGAATTGTTTGTTGAAATTTTAAATCGATACATATATTATTTTGAAAGAAAAAATGAAGCCGTAAGATTTTAATGAGTTTTTTCTATTTTGATTTTCTAATCTGGGGAGGTATATGTCATTGTTGACTTTTGATTTTTAAATAGGTTACTGTGAAATATCTTAACGGTTTAATTGATCTAATTAATACAAATCTCACAAATATGGACAACCCAGATCAACATCCACCTACATCAGCGTCTTCAGCGATCGTAGAGCCAGAAGGAAATATTTCTGAATTTGTTGTTAGACATTTCAGATCAACATTGATACATTTAAATATACGTAAAGAAGCTGTGCTTGCTGCTAAAGCTCAAGGTGATTTAGATCAATCAAAATACGACGAGATTGATACAAGTATTATACATGGAAGATAAAACTGTACAATTGATTAATAAGATATCTGATTAATATTTGTAAATATTATTTTATTAATTTACCAAATAATTTTATATATATATGATCACTAATTGAATTTAATTAAATAATATTCTCTATCTATATTTATATATACACACAATATATGTTATGTTATATTACATTATATTATATAAATTATTTAGAATTCTTTAAAAAGTTTATTAATGTATTTTCATGGTTTTTTTGATAATCTTTTCTTTACATTTATATTGTATAAATATTTATATTATTTTTGTATTAATAAAAATTATTTTTAATAATTATTTAAAAACCTAATTAAGAAAGTTTATTTTTAATTCTTATCAATATATACGCAGATATCATTCATTGGTTATCTCTTGAATTTAATATCTGTCTCTGTTTATTAAAAAATTCTACATTATTATTAACGTCAATAAGTTATTTTTTGGGAAAGAGAAATTGGTTGCTGATGATGATATTCCACTTTTACTTTCAGCGAATTAAATTATCATTAGTTATAACATAGATGTCATATATATTATATATATTAATATGTAACAACAAGAATAATTATTCGAATAGATTTTTATGTTGTGCTATATATGTATATATATGTACCGTAAATGAATATTATTATTTTTATAAATGCTAAACCATATATATAAGAAAGGTACGTAAAAGAATAGTCAACCAAAGAAATACTTAATACTGTTTCTAAGATTAAAAAAAGTCATACAATCAATTTATTGTTGGGCACATCCTATGTGATCATTTTCATCATAGTCATCATCATCATCATCATCATCATCATCATCATCATCATCATCATCATCCCATACATTCTGACTTTTATCTTTTTTGGCACCAAACTATAAAATTTTAAAAAGAATGTCTAATGAAAACTTTTTCCTATATTAAATAAATAATTATTTAACGTGTGTATATTACCTGATTAAAATCACCATCTATTAACTGAACATCGTCAACAATTTCAGGTTGTGTTGTTTCATCTTTCTCTATTCGAGGAGGTAAAAGTGTTTCTAATTCCTATATATATGAAATAAATAAATTAATTTACAATTCATATATACATATATGGATGTGTTACGTAAGCCTTTTGTATTTTAAAACCTTAATTTTTTCAGGTGAAATCCATAAAGAGGATGGAAATTCTACTGAAATTTTGATATACAAGTTGCCTTTATCATAAGGACGTTTATACTGAGGCATTCCTTCGTTTGGTATACATTGGATGGTACCAGGCTTAATGACTTGGCCAGGAGGATGGTTCACTAGTAAACCACGTCCATCAAGATGTGTAACAAGTATTTTTGAAAAGCCACATAGAGCCTCAGTAATAGATATTTTAACTTCTGTAAGTAAATCATTTCCTTGACGTTCAAATTTGTCATGTGGTTTTTGTTTAAGAACAAGAATGATATCTCCAGTTTCAATACCAGGCTGAAAACATTTATAATGAATTATTAACATTTTTAAATGAAATAAAAATAATGCTATTTATATTTTACCTCTTGATCAGCTTCGCCTTTCATTATAATTTTTTGATTATTCTGCATTCCCTTTTCAATATGTATCTCTAATTTTTTCCTTTCTTCAATAATCTTAGCACCTTTACATTTTTTACATTTATCCTTTTCCCTAAGAATTTCTCCAGAACCCTTACCTAAGTTGAAGTTTTATAAATTAGTTATTAAATAATAAAAATCGAACAACAATAAGAATAATTAACTATATAATGTTATTATATAACATACAATTATGACAGACAGAATTTATCCTCTGGATCATGTTAGGGCCAATTTGACGCATTATAATCTTATAGCCTTGTCCGTCACAGCTATGGCATTTCCTTTTCTGGCCGTTTTTACTGCCTTTACTATTTATATATACATAATAAATTCATATCCAAATATTATAAATGTTTTCAATGGACAATAAGGATTCCTATTATATACATACCCATTACAAACCGGACAGACAACATCTTTCTGTATTGAAATTTTGGCTGTTTTACCGTTGTAAAGATCCTCTAATGTAACATCAAAGGGTTTAAGAATATCTTCGCCTCGTCTTTGTCTAGGAGGACCTCCACCTCCAACACCACCTATTACAATCATCATTATAATAATATATATATGTATATTTTTGATCAACCAATTTTTTTACAAACTTTTTTCAAATTATATAAAATTTTCTAATAAAAAAAATATTGATTTGAACATACCGCTCATTCCACTAAATCCAAATAAATTTGCGAATAAATCTTCAGGTGACATAGAAGCATTAAAATTGCCAGATAAACCATCTTCGCCATATTGATCGTATAAATCCCTATAATTAATATAAATCAATTTAATACCATATAAATGATAATAATAATTTGTTGGATACTACAAATTATTGTTAAATTACCTCCTTTTTGGATCACTCAAAGTTTCATACGCATGACTGATTTCTTTAAACCTTTCAGCTGCTATTTCATCGGGATTTTTATCTGGATGATATTTCATTGCCTAAATTAAAAATTTTGAAATTGAACATCAACACTTCTTAAGAAAAAATTTGCTCTAAATCTACTAAATCTTTTTAATTGACTTTATTAAAACATCGTAATTAAAGTATATATTTTAGCATTGTAACTTACTAACTTACGATAAGCCTAAAAGTAAAGATTAAAAAAAAGAGGATTTAATGACTAACACCATGTTAAATCGCTTTTTAAGATGTAATAATTATTGATTAAGTTTTTTAAACCTTTTTTATTTCAGTTTCAGAAGCGGTAGTCTCAACATTAAGGATGTCATAATAGGACTTCATGATGGCAATATTATTAAAAAATATATTTTTCAAAAAATATTAAGGGTAAATCCCCTAATAGATGGGTCAAAATTTAATTTTCGGGCCCCTGTTAAGGATATTTAATATTTAAAAACTTTTTTATTATTACATCAAAATTTTGTAATACCAGGTATATCAAAAAAAAGGGAGGGCCAAATAAGAAAATATATTTATACATAATATTAATTAAAATTATTTAATTATTAACTTTCTTCCACTGTGATTGAGCACCCAATAAAGATGATATTACACCAGCTATTCCAACAAATCCATCACCGGGATCAATATATTTGAGAGCAGTTGCAGGAATTGTAATATCAAGTAAATCTTGGACGAGTTGTCTAATAGTGTTCTTATACTCTCTAAATAAATATAAAAACTAGATATAAATATAATATCATACAAATTAATTATAATTAATTATCGAATTACCTTTTAAAAATAGCAATATCTTGTTTGATATTTTCACTGCCTTCTGCAACCTTTGACTTATTAATTCGTTCGAAATAACTTTTGCGAAGATTGTTGTTATGGAATTTGTATAAACCATTTAATATAGAAAACAAAAGTCCAATTAACCAGAATCTATAAGCATAAGTGGTTATTTTTTGAATTTGATTGAATTTATAAACGCCAACACCATGAACCTATCAAAAGATTAAGTGTATATGTATTCGATAAGAATATATATAATTTATTAAAAAAATCAATGTAATTATGTAGTTATAATCACCCAAGCAAACGTGTCAAAAGAAAGATAAGCAGCATAACTTAATTGTCTACCAACTGTTGTAAACTTTGCAAATTCATCTGTTTCATTGAATGCTTTAGATGCATTTTGCAAATGTTCCATGGGTTTTCCAAGTCTCATAACTTTTTGTTAAATTGTGAAGAAACGAATTATGTATTTTATATATAACTTATTACATATTTAATGATAAATTTTCAAATTAAATACATACGTTTTCTGGAAAGACCTAATGTACTTTTTAAGTTAGCAAATCTCTGAATTGTTTCTTTGGTATAACCTTGACGTTTAAAATACCAAACAAGAAACCGAGCAAAGTATTGAACGGTTCTATATATCTTATCTCTACCAACTGTTGTGCTAGCATACTTTAATGATTTGTTGACCGTGGGGTGAAGAACAAGTTGTTGTAGAGGCATTTTTCCCTTTAAAATTTTTTTGAAAAAAATAAATTCATTTCTTAAATAATATATATTATATATTTTTTTTTTGCGTGATACACATTAGTGATGCGATCTGTGTGTGTCGATCCGAAATGGCATATGGCTGATGGATACAGATATCATCCAAACATCAAAAAAGTAGCATGATTACAAAAATTTTTATAATAAGGTCTAGAAGTAATTCTATATATCACTTAATATTAAGAAAAACAAATATAACAAATGGGGGATTTAATAATCACATTACTAAATTTTGATCCCTGAAATTGTTAGTAATACCAATTCTGGTTCAGTGTTTAAATTTCTTTGTGTAACCAGTACAAATTTAGAAACTATCTCCAAAAATTAAAAGGTTGATTGGTGTGTAGTGTTACACCCCCCGCATTCCCCACACCGAATTTTCAACACTGATTTTAATTGGAATTCTGTTTGGTATGTCATATATAAATTAATCATTTCCATAAATTTTCTGTTTTTAATTTTTATTTGACCAATTGAACTTGTTATTTAAATGGGGGTGAGCAGGTGTGCCACAAACAAGACAGCAACCCAAGACCCAAAACTATGAATTCAGGGAAAACAATCCAGTTTGCAACCTCCCGAGTTGGGAATTTTGAACCAGTCTTAGGTACTTAACTTTATTCTAGAGGTGTATGACACAAATCAACTATTGAACAAGTACCAGCTATCAGTGATCAATGCTCATATGATAATAGTCAAGCCTGGTCTGAGAGAAAGATATGGGAAGGTTTTATCCAAAGCCTTCCAACATGTCTAACCCTCCTTCACCTGTGGAAAAAAAATCCATGGTGCTGAATTGTGCTTAATTGCATCGCGATTGCATGTTTGTGATAGGAAATTTTAATTAAATTTGACACCTGTGATTAATATCAGATTTATTTATATTCATTTTAAGTACACATGGAAAGGAAAATTTTTTTTTTGATCCTCCAGTCAACCTGGTCCAAGAAGGAATAGACTTATTTATTTTTGTGAATCCCAAAGATCTGGCTATACACATTGTTAAAAGTTTTATTTATACACAGCTTTGATATTACTACTATTTGGGTGATGTAATTGTTTGTTATGTCAATTATAACATTAAATATATTGAATAATAATCATGACCATCATGAAGATTTGATGGATGGAGGCATTCACATACAAGGAAATGATTAAACAGCTAAGTCATGTTTGTTTTTATTAAAGATATATAATTAATTATACAATAAAAAATTGCAAGACTGCATTGCATCACTATGTCAATCAAGATATCAAGTTGTTATGTTTGTGCATTATTTAAATTCTTTTGTGCTAATTTAGGGTCCCACCTTTCTTTGCTTATATATAATCTATTGGTTCTCTTTTTACTGGTTGAATGATGCCAAATTGGGTAATGAGGTATCAGTAAATATCAGAATCTGATATCTGATTGATATTCTTAAAAAAATAATCAAGGTATTGGCATATTGATAAGTTAATAAGATTCTTAGTATTTTTATCATATTGTCTAAAAGCCTATTAGTAAATGTTGAAAGTGCCGATATTTATCAGATATTCTCTTAAAATTAATCCTATTTTTTAGTTAATTATTGGCTTAATTTAATAAACCAATAGCTCTTTTATATTGTAATTAAGT